CCTCCCACCCCTCTATGCACGTGCTCTTGCTACAGGACTCTCTGTATCGTTTCATACACGGACGTTATGTACAGCTGGACACAACAGCTCACTCCAAGGGCGCTTTGCCTTCACTCAGCATTTGCAATACTCAAATCATGAAAGGATTACCAAGCCACCACTGTCTACACAAACAAAGCATAACTTCCTTTCAAACAGCTCCCAGGGAGTCAGGAGCTGTCCGAGAGGGACTGCTCGGGCAGTTCATGGGGCAGGAGGAGGCAGAGGGAACAGGGGCTGAGGGGACAGCCCAGGCTGGGGGAGCTCTGACACACAGTGCCCACAGCCCCTCACCAGCTACTAGGGGTGGTTCTCCTTTCCTCAGTGCCCCGGCACACCTTGGTCACACCACACACAAAGCAGGACGGGTTTGTTTCACCTTCTAAAGTGCAAGATGCTATAAAACATCAACCTCCAGATTCTGTCTGAACCTGACTGTGTTGCACTTGCAGCAAGCACCCTGACCCCCAAGCCCCAGGGACTCCCTGGCACCACGGCCGGACACAGTGACCCTCCTGAACCCTCCAATCCATTTAGCTCCTAATCCAACCCAGTAACCTCCTTTGTTCAGTTCTGACCACAGGAAAGGCACTGAGCTGACACAGCCAGGGGGAGAAGCTGAGCACAGTCCAGCCCGGTGCTGGGATCCCTCAGCCCTGCCCTGTGCTCCCCCTCCAGCCCCAGCCTGGGCAGGACCATCCCTGAGATCACTCCCTGCTGCCCCAGGAGGGGGCTGGATCTGCAGGGCAGCACTGACATGTGCTGCCAGCACTGGGGCTCTGAGTCCTGGCAACGCTTGTTTGCTGTGGGGAAAAAATGCAGTAGACAACTTCCACGTCACAGGTACCTTTAATTTCTCATTCAGGTTTGAGTTATGTACATGAGGGTGCTTTACTTCAGACTTAAATAAAGTTTCTAGGTCCTACCAGGAATTAAACAGATGTCATTACTTTACAATTGCAGATGCATGGAGGGATTTAAGATGCATTACTTGTGTATCTGGAATTTTCCAACAGGACAAAAAGCAGCAAATGTTTCCAGTCCAAGCAGCTAACAAAGGAAAAAGACTTGACTCGTGCATGCTCAAGTGCAGCAACACACCCCAAGATGACAGAAGCCACTGGATCTTAACCTGCTCTGGAAACACCACGTCAGGACCCTCCAGCCCTTCCCAGGGGCCCCCACAGCCCACCCAGCTCCTCCCTCCCCCAGGGCAGCGTGCAGGGCCCTGGGCCCTCCCTGTGCTGGTCGGGGACCCTCAGCTGTACAAGGGACAGTTTAAAAGCCACGGATTAAACCAAAGGAATAAAACAAAGCACAGATTCACCTGTTAAAACATCAGACTGGTACTGCATTGTACTGCCCATTTCAAAGGGAATTTCTAAAAAGACCTGGTTAGTCTGGTAAGTATGGTCATTCTTCGTTATCTACAATGGAATCTGTCACAAAATGCTGATTAAAATATTAATCCATAGTATTTTAATTCGTTTCAGATCAAAATATGTAACTTTAGGGATATGCAAATTACAAACTGCGTATACCACCACCATCTCCTGTGGGAGTTGGGCTGGGGCAGGGCTGGGGCCTGGCTCACTGCCTCGCAGGCTCGGGCTGACCTTCAGTGCTGCCCCCAGAGCACTGCAGTGCCCAAGTGTCTCTCCACATGCAAACCCCAGGACGCTGGTACTGGAGCCACGGTGCCAAGGTGAGGATCACCTCATTGTCAAAGGGTTTCCAAGGAGGCACTAACAAAATCCAGAAACTGCTGCATGCCCCAGCGTCCTGCCAGTGAGTGAGGGAGGTGTCCTTTGACCCTGCTGTGTGATAGGAATTGCACATCTCTAACAAACATGGAAAGCAAACAGCAAGTTGGACCATGGCAGTCATTTGGGAGAGGAAGCTCTACTGGAAACTGGATCACTAAACTCTAGTGGGATGGACAACTCCTCCTGGAAGTTTGTCTAGCATAAAAAAACCAAACAAAAACCCCATTTAAACTTAGTTTAACAACACAGCTTAACCATTGAATGACCAAATAAAAAATAAATACATTTATCACATCAGCTGCTACTAAGATTTGTTGTCTTCATTCAGGTTTACAGTCAGTTCTATAAATATACCAACCCCTGCATGATAGGAGGCCAAAACAAGTGTTTTCGGTTGATTTGGCAAATGTTTCATGACAAATATTCCAGAGTTTAATTAATTTCCATTAATTACAGATAAGGTTCAGAAGATTCTGAATTGCAGCCTTATTATCTAGTATTCTTAGAGAAGATTTATTAAGCACACTTAAGTGATGTTACATAGATACACATTTCTGAAAGAGCCCTACAAAACTTTTCCCAAACGAGGTCACCAATTCAGGCACCACCAGACAGCAGAAAGAAAAACAGGTATAATTATCCAACATAACGACACTGTCAACTATGCAGTTAAGTGCCCCATTCCGCCCGCGCCTGCCTGCTCAGGTCCGACGTGACCAGTGCCAGCCCATGTTCTTAAACCTATGGTACTCTAGACAACGTATGTAAATTTACAGTATACAATTTGGATTCACCATGCATGAATACTTTGTGTGTAACATTTAATAAGCTCAATCTACATCCAGAATAATTTACATGAAAGGACAATATTTATTTAAACAGAGCTCGATGGGTAACCATGGTATCTGAGTGCATCCAGAGGAAGGGGTCGCCGTGAACTCCATCAGCGACACTCCCACACTTTTACTGTTTGATCTACACTCCCAGTCACCACGTATGGGGCTGTCTTGTGGAAATCTGCCAGGAGACAAAACCTCACGTTACCAACAGACCTGAACCCACAGCACTCCCACTCTCACTGGACTTTTCAAAACAACTCCACCAGCTCAAAGACAAATTTCAAAGCTCCTCATGGCTGTAATTCTGCACATTCTCTCCTGCTGCAATTTTGTCAAGTGTGAAAATCCAGTTTCAGTTCAGTTATAAAAGTACTTTCCCAGAAAAGAAATCACGATAAAGTTGTAACAGAGAAGAGTTCAAAACATCTGACATCGATAAAACCCTTAAACCCTACCAGGAAACAGAACTTCAGGTATGTAACAAGAGTCAAGGTAACCTGACTTTTTGCCACAGACAGTGAGCTGGAGCTCGAAAATGTACAGTACACTGTTCCTTGAGAGATCCCAAAATATTTTACACATAAATCCATCTTGGACTGGCTCGGAGGCAGGACAGGGAAGTTTAACCCAGAGGAATCAGCCACCCTCACTGCAGGAAGGGTCAGCAAAGCCAGCTGTGACCAAGGCAGCCCATTCCAGGGGGCTAATCAGGCCCTGCCAAGGGTTTGATGATCCTCATCATACTCCTCCTCACCCTTTCTCATCTGCTGTCCTCGGCCACCCCAGGGGAAGTCAAACCCTGCACTGGATCAGACCTGCCAGTGTGGGCAGGAACCCTCAGGAACCAGCTCCAGGCTCCCTGGTGACCTAACTCACACAGCTTTGCTGGTGGAGCTACAGACTGACGGAGAAACACAGACTCAAAAATCAACAGAGTCCAGAGCAGAGCCAGCTTTGCTGAGCAGGGAGGAGTGGGTTTGTGCTGGCTTTGCCAGGGCAGGGGGAACTACTGTCTGCCAAGATTTGGTAACACCAGCCAGGAAGGCCCAGGACTTCAAAGTACTTTGTGTTCTGACTGTTTTGTGCACACCCCACTCCTCTTCCTTCAGCTGGGCAAGCACTGGCACTAGAGCACTCCCCAGATGCCTGCACACTCTGGTGACAGGTTCCAGACCTCCCTGGCAGTTAAGATCCCTTATCCATGTACAACACTGGCAGCAGAAGTCGAAAAATCCAGCATACTCCAACTGCTCTCTGCCCTTATTTGATTAACACACACAGAGCACAAGGCCTCGCGAGGTGCATGCCAGGCTGGTGCTTGCTGCAGCTGGGGAGATGCAGCAGCTCTGGCTCTGCCTTGGCAGTAAGCACGGGGAGCAATACGTACCCAAAGAGGTAACAAAGTGTTCGTGCGCGTTGAGGGTTTTCATGCATCGCTTGTTCTTGAAGTCCCAGACACGGAGAGTCTTGTCATCAGCACAGCTCAAAATAAACTTTCCCCCAGAATGGAACAGGACACCACGTACCCAGTTATCATGGCCCACCTTGTGCACAAGGAGAGAGGAGTGAGCAGGTGCAGGTGTGAGTGAGGGCCCCACACCTCCACCTGCAGGGACCCCAGCCCCACGGGACAGCGCCGAGCTGCTCCAACTGCCAGAGCACAGCTCATCTCCAGTTCTATTATTACACCTCTATCAGCGCTCCCAACAATGCGAGCTCCTGTCCTTGAAGGCAAACAAACTGCAGCCCTCATGTGATCTGCAGTGCTCCTGCTCCCCGGCCCAGTCCCAGCAGCCGGTGCCACCGGAATCCGGGGAGCATGGCCACGGCCCGCGGGAAGTCCCACACGTGGGAAGGACACGACATTTTGCAGCAGACAAAACTCAGATCACTATCAGCATTTCTGCAGACAAACCAAGCTCCTCATCTCAGAGCCTACACCACAGCACTGCAGACACACTGTGGGCTTTGAGCTTCTCGGGATTTCTTAGCAACAACAGGATCTGAGCTACAGAAGCTGTTAAAACTGTATTCACAGTGTTTGCCTTATTTCCATAGCTCTAACTTCCCCTGGACACATGACACACAAAGTAACACATTGAATGAAAACTGGCTCTGGCCACCAGAAAAACACCAATGGACTTACAAGTGTCATAAGGCACATGCCAGTGCTAATGTCCCACATCTTAATGGTCTTGTCTCTGGATCCAGACAGCAGAAAAGGCCCAGGCTTGCCACTCTTCTTAGTCTACAGAAAATCATGGTTTAAGTTATGACATACATGGGTGGAAGGGGGAAGAGGAGGAAGGAAGCAGATCCCCTCCCAGTGCAATTGCTTAGTACCGAACCAGATCCCACAGCAGCTTACAGCAAGCAAACCCACACTGCCAAAGCTGGGGCAGGGGCACTAACACCAGGAGAACTGAACAGAAATGGGAACTAAACAGTCTGGGAAAAGAAATGGTTCTGTCCCCTGTTAACACCACGATCAGAATAGCACTTGGAACACACACTGCCCTGCTGCAAACCTTGCTCTGCTACAAGCAGGCACAGCCAGGTGGAGTCTGACATCTCAGGCCAAACGAGGACACAGCTCACACAAACCTCCCTGCTCTCATTCTCCACGAAATGCAGCGAAGCAGGAGTAAGAATTTCTGAAAAGTTACTCCTCTTGAATTATTTCTCTGTGTAACCAGGCGCAGTGTCACTGACAGCCAAGTCTCTGGGATGGTCTCTGCCCTAGCCGAGCCCCCCGGCCAGGCCTTGAGCCCCCCCAGGCCGGCCCTGCCCCCTCAAACAGGTCCC